TCAGTCAAGATAAACTGTACCGTTTGACACTACAACTGTTCGGATGGGGTGTTCATGTTCATCTAGGTTGTGAACCATAATTATTGTTTCACAAGTAACTGATAGAATGATCTTCGGTTCGCCTGATGACGACCCACACTATCTAATTGCAAAACACTAGAACGTAGGACTTGTTTAATCTAACATATTTCTCATTTATAAAGGGTAAAAATGTAATATTATTCAAAGTCAAGCTTTCAGTATATAACACTAACAATCTCCCACTTATACTTAAAGCTTTCGCTTTTACAAATATAGTCCTATCAATCTGTTATTCTAAAAGACCTTTGTCAATCCTATTGCCATGCACTTGACTCTCATTCCTATCATGTGTTTGACGAAGACCTTCTCCGGCAAACTCTTCGTGAAGGGATCAGCTAGGTTGTCCTCTGATGAAATCTTGACAACATCAACATCTCCTCTACCAACTATCTCTCGAATCAGATGGTACTTGCGGTCTATGTGTTTGATTGCTCTGTGGGCTCGTGGTTCTCTTGAGTTTGCTACTGCTCCACTGTTATAACAGTACAAGGTGATACCACGTGGCAAACTTGGAATCACCTCAAAGTCCACTAAGAAGTTTCTGAGCCAAATTTCTCTTTCGTTGCCTTTGAGGCTGCTATGTACTCGACTTCCATGGTGGAGTCTGCCACGTATTTCTGCTTAACACACCTCCATGAAATGGCTCCACCTCCCAAGGTAAACACATATCCTGAGATTGACTTACTCTCTTTCCTATCTGACTAGAAATCAGAATCACTGTAACCTAGAGGTAACAAGGTGTATGCTGGTGTTAAAATCTGAAAGAGCTCTTCAGATCACTCTATGCTGGTGTTAAAATCTTGTACATAAAATACAACTCAGAAGAAGAGATTCTTCTTTAACAAGAGGTGGATTTAAAAGAAGACTTCCAAGAAGTGGTTCAAAATGCTTGGACTGAACAAAGAAGACACACCAATGTTCAGGGTGAAGAAAAAGGTTAAACAGACCATGATAGCTCTGTTGTCAGCAAATCAGAAAAAGATACAGGAACTGACAGCTATGCTGGAAACTATGAGGATGTGAGGAGGAGATAGAGATTGACAGGTGTGGCATTCTATTAAATCTCAACTGGATAAAACTCATTAAGAGGAAGAAATTTTTTGGAGACAGAAAGCTAGACTAATCTGGTTAAAAGACTGATATAATAACTCAAGATTCTTTCATGAGTTTGCTGCCCAAAAGAGGAAGAGAAATGTTATAATCAGACTTGTTGAAGAAGCAGGTAGAGAATATGAGTCTCCACAGGATATTCAGAATTGTGTCTGCCAATTTTATAATCATCTATACACATCATAGGGTTCAAGTGGAGGGGTTGAATGACTATAACATATTCTTTGCGCTATTGACCATCAGATGAATGAGAGTCTTATTGTAGTTGTAGAGGAAGATGAAATTAAAGAAGCTTTGTTTAGCATTAATCCAGAGAAGGCGCCTGGAGCGGATGAGATGACAACTATGTTCTTTCAACACTTCTGGGATATGATCAAAGAAGATATTTGTGCTGGTATTTGGAGCTTCTTTCAGTCTGGGAGGTTATTAAGGTAATGGAATCATACAATTATTTCTCTTATTCCTAAATGTCTAAACCCTGTCTCTCTTAGTAATACAGGCCAATTAGACTGTATGGAGTTGTATACAAAATCATAACCAAAATTTGGCTACCAGACTAAAAGCATGCCTTCACAAGTGTATCACTTGACTCTCATGCCGCTTTTGTTCCAGGAAGATCATTAATGGATAATGTGATTGTGGCTCAGGAATTTTTTTCATTTCCTAAACAGATACAAATCTAGTAGGAACTGTTTTATGACTATAAAATTAGACACGTTGAAGGCTTATGACCGTGTAGTGTAAGACAGTGTGAGGCAAGTTTTGCAAATGATGGGTTTCATGCTACTTTCATTAATTGGGTGATGGGGTGTATTACTTCAACATCTTTCTCTTTTAATCTGAATGGACATGTGTGTGGTCTGGTTGATCCCTCAAGAGGGTTGAGACAGGGGGATCTAATTTCTCCCTATATTTTTATTCTAATTGCTGAAGTTTTTTTTTTCTTTACTGAACTTTGAAAAGGGTTTGGGTTGTCTGCATAGGATTAGAATTTCAAGAGGTGGACCGGTGGTGGCTCATTTACTTTTTGCAGATGACTTCCTGGTGTTTTTTTAAAGTTGAAAGTACCCAGGCCTTTCAACTGGTGGATATTCTTGCCAAGTACAAAGATTTCTCTGTTCAACAAGTAAATTAGGGTAAGTCTTATGTTTTCTTCAGCAGTAATACTCCTTTACAGGTGAAGCAGAGAATTTGTCATATTTTGGAAGGTGTCACTGTTCATAACTCCACTAGATATCTAGGACTTCCACTAGGGATTGACGAGTCCAAGGTGGAGACTTTCAATTTTGTGCTAGAAGCAGTTAAAGATAGGGTCCAAAATTGGAAGAACAAATTCTTATCCATGGTTGGTAAGGAGGTGCTCATGAAAGTGGTTTTAAGTGCCCTACCTATCTTTGTTATGAGTCGCTTTAAACTTTCTATTAGTATCTGTAAGAAGATTGCAGGTATCTGTGCTGATTTCTGGTGAGCAAAGGGTAAAGAGCAGGATAGAGGAGTTCATTGGAAGTCTTGGAAGCTGCTGGCTTTACCTAAGAAATGGGGTGGATTAGGCTTTCAAGATATCCAACTCTTCAATGATGCAATGATCATGAAACAGCTCTGGAGATTACTGACTAAACTTGGTAAGTAGATTACTTAAAGCTAAATATTTTCCTAAGTCTGATTTTGTGGATGATAAAAGAATTTCTGGAGGATCTTGGAATAGTTGGATGAATGTAAAGGAGAAGTTTAATCAGAATGTTCAGGTGCGGCTACATAGTGGAATAAATACTT